GTCCTATGCTTTTATACTCAAAAGTCCCCCTAACTAGGGCTCACTCAAAGGTACTCACCTTTGAGTAAGTCCTAGTAGGGGAAGTTACCCAGGCATAGGGTTGAGCCCTTACACTGCAATGCTAAGAACACTTTCCTGGAAGTAAGCCCCACAGACTAGACCTGAGTAGGATTCTCAGTAGACCTATTTAGGATTGCTCTCTTAATCTCTTATTTCTACCTCCTTGTTAAGGATGACTAGAAGCTGAAAGCTGAGTTTTTTCTCCTAAGGATTAAGAGCATGTACCATCAAAGCCTGAAACAGAATAATTCTTTGGCAGAAATGTTGCTAGAACTTGCTTTATCACCCACCATTTCCTCACAGGCATTGCGCTTCTGTCCTTGTAAGGTATTCCTTAAGGTTAATTTAGCAATCTATGAACTATGCTGAAATCGTTTGATTCCCAGTTTTTACAAATACTTCAGAACACCTGCTGTATAATGCAAGTGCTGACTGTTTCAATGAATTATAGCTGTCAAAAGGGAAACCAGTTTAGTCCCTTTACACTGCTCCTGAGACAGAATAAATGTTAGATCTGGTAAGAGTATCCATGGCTGCGGTCACAAGTAACAGAAGCCACACAAGTGAGACGGAAAACAGCCGGAGTTTCCGGGCGCGATCTCACCAGCACATCTGGGAAGCGTAGCACTCCCGTGGCTCAACCGAGGCTTCCAGCCGAAACAGCGTGGCAAAAAACTAGTACCTTGGAGGTACTAGTTTCCGGAAACTGCGGGGCAAGGGCGGGCGTCTGATCGCGTTTCCGGTGGCATCCGGCGCCCACCCATGTCCCCTTGCAAATAAGGTGGGTTTTTTTGTCCAAGTCTCTGTGGATGTGCATGCGCACCCAACGGAGCATGCGCATTTGTCATGTACACAAAAATAAAAAACAGTTTGCCGCGGCGCACGCTTCTTCATTGCGCGCCGGCTTGTCCTGTGATCGGCACCTCTCCCTTGCCATGGAACCTCCACAGGACCTCCACAGGAGGTCTGATCGCGTAACTGCGCAGTAGTTTGCCCCAGGGCAAACAGCCACGCTTCTCCTCTGCAGTTTCCTGCCCGTGTGACCGGGGCCCATGTTGGTCTGAAAGCCCAGTATGCCTGATGCATGCAATGCCCGACTGCCGCCATTAGCACCTTGTTCTGTTCTGGCCCAAATCGCTATAAACTATCATCAGGTGCATAGAAGAGCAGAGAGTTTTGCATCTTTGAACTGGCTATATTGCATAGCTGAATTGGAAAATGCTACTTTAAGAGGACAACACTTAGGGTAGTAGAGGGGGACTGCTTTAGTGGTGACGCGGCTGGTTTATCCAAGTGCTTTCAGCATTTAGCCTTCAGTCCATTTTTCCCCCCCTTTTTGCTTTTTAAATTATACTGAGAGAAATCTGAAGCATTAAATGGAAAATCACTTTGCAGAGGACTGATAGGACAGAAAGTACACTTATATGAATATTACATTTGCATGTAATTTTTTTAAAAGATAGAACAGAGTAGTTCAGCATTATTCCATTCCCAGCTACCATTTGCGAGAAGTATAAATTACAAGTGCAGATTTGAAGAACAGATTATAAAGACTGAAGCATGGTATGCTTCAGACCAGCAATTCGCTCTGCTTATAGCACCAGCATAAAATGGCCAGGAGGCCAAACAGGAAGATGTTTTGACATTTGATTAATACAGGCAGCCATTTACCAAGAGGTAATCTACCACAGTGCTCTTTATAACCACAAAGCACATTGGCAATTTTATAGTCCTGCACAGTGCCAGATATCGTCACATCTGTGTTGCCAGATCAGATGAAACAAAAAGGAGTCTTGTGGCACCTTGAAGACTAACTGATTTATTGTAGAACAGCCTTTTGTGGACTAGAGCCCATGTTGTCCAATCCATGAAGGTTCTCTTTATGTACCTGATGAAATGGGCCTCTAGCCCACAAAAGTTACTGTTTCTGCTGTGACAGACTAGCACAGCTAACCCTCTGGAATGTGCAACTCTCATCTAACGTAGGTCTGTGATAAAATCCTCCTTTTTTGACAGAAGGATGCAAAGAGCCACTTATCTGCTGGCTGCGTGCACATCATAGTAAGGTAACAATCAATAAATGGTCTTCTTTGTTTACCCACAATAATACTCAAAAGTGAAGATATGCCTAAAGTGTGAGGCACTCTGTTCTGAACTTAAATATGTGGCAGGAAAGAGCAGTTTGAAGTGATGGGTTTAAAACAGTACAAATGAATACCTGCCAAAAGGCTACCCTTTCCATAGTGCGGCAAGGTGCAAACAGTAGCACGGTGCGCAAAGCTGTCTGTGGTAGTTGATGATATGAACTGTGTTTGAATTCCTCCATCCCCTGTGAGTTTTATATGACTTTTTGCTCTACTTCTAGCTTCACTGATCGGAGCAATATACCTAATTTGAAGGGGGGGAAAGAATCCGGGAGTTAGCCATGCTAGATTTCTTCTTCAGAGAAACAGGAGTTTGGCAAGGAAACAACACTCACAGTGCGGGTGTGCTATGCTGAATTTGTGAGGGAGTCACATTTCCAACCTGTCACTCAGCTTTGCACTGCAATTTCTGCAGCTCCTTGGCCAATGAAGAGTTGAAAGAGGAGATGGTATTTGTACAGTTTTAACAGATGCCCTGCCAGTTGTCCCATTGCATTCCGGACAGAAACATTGCTTATGCACATAAAGCAGTCATAACTGAGTTCACCTTTTTGATCCAAAGTCGATCTTTTATTAGTTTTGCAGTAGTTCAAACACAGTTATAATCTGATTGAGCACCCTCTAGGATTTATGTTTCTTCTGTTTTACATGTAGAGGAGGCATGGAATGCTGGCTCGTATTTGCATCCCCTCCCCCCTTGCATTGATTTTCAGCTTTGCTAAAATCTGGTGCCTGCTGAAACTCAAGGAAACACACATACAGAAAAATCATGTGGTAGGGTACTAATAAAGCTGTACTTTTTGAGGTGTGTGATCACATATTTGAATCTTTCCCATGTCATAAAATTGTCGTAAGATTGTACAAAGCCAAAATGTTTAAGGATTTTAGACCAGAATTCTTCATGATCTGTTAGTTTTCAGTGTCCTGGGAGGGAATGTTCAAGCAAATCTCCCCTACATTCTGAAGTGGTTTGATTTGCCTAGGAAATATCTGTGTGGGGTTTTTTGTTTGTTTTTTGTTTTCCTCCTGAAAACATAGATTGACTTTCAGCTTCAGTTTCAAGTTGGGATTTTCTGACATGGAGCGTGATGACATTATTGCAGTGCGCCATGATAAAGAGTAAATAATTAGTACGGGTTGGATGCAAAGGTGTCCTTACGAAAGCAGAAAGCATCAGCAAGTTGTCCCTCCCAGAGGGTTACTGATAGCCTCCTCCCACTGTATTCCCCACTACCCCATCCCATGCAGTTCCATAGAGTCTCCTGGTCATTAGGAACAGCTGTGCAGGGAATGCAGTGAGGAGGAAATATGAAAAAGCTCTTTTGCATGCAAAGCGGCACTTCTGCCTTGTTGGATCCAACCATAGTAACTGAGATATGTGTGTACTGAGTGTCTTTAGACAACTCCACATTTTGTATTTGAAATATTTGGAAGCACACATTGCCATTTTCATGCATGTTTGATTCCCATTGAAATCAGTGGATCTTAAGTGTGTGTATAATAGAGCAGTCTTCATAACAGTGTTTAATACTTTACATATGCAATTGCCCTATGAAATGGAGTTCAGCATACTAAGCAGAATAATAAAGCACATTGTCGTATTAAAAGAAACGTGAGGCCGTATAGCTGTTCTTTGTTATGACGTTATTTGACAACAGACAGGCCACAGATGTGAGCAGAATAAAACTCAGCCTTGTGTCACTTGCTTACAGGGTGTGTCATTAGCCTGTAATGTGGATATCGACAAAATAAGCAGCATGGCTCATTGGTCCTCCACTAACTTATAGCTGTTCTTGTCCTGTAATCCTTACATTATCGCACACTGCTTCAAGCTCTTATTAAAAGAACAAATTAAAACATGAAGTTGAAACACGCAAATAGATACGCACCAAATAATTAAATAAATCAACTTCACCCACTTTCCATAACACAGAGAGATGGGAGCAATTTTTAAAGCCTTCACCACTTTGAAATGTGAATAGGTTTTCTGCTTGTTGATTTCTGAAGTGTTGCGTTGGTGATAAATCTCCTATAAATTCTCCATCTGAACAGACAAGGCTTACCATAACTGTGGCTAACTGAAAACTTAAAATGGTAATTATGGGGGACAGAATGAGATTAAAGAGGAAGTAAGTTGTGTAAAATGTAACATTGGTACCGAGGCTAAAAGAAAATGAATTCTTTATGTGTATGAAGCCTCTGCTCCCCATTTGTTACTGCTTTTCCACTGGCTTAAGTTGGTCTACACTCACCGGCCCCTGTGGATTTGCCCCTCTGTTGACATGAATGAAGAAGCCCATTCATACAAGAGTTTTCTGCAGGCCATGAATGGCATTGAAGCCGCTGCTCTCTTGCAATATTAACACTAATGGTAGTTAACCTGGTGTTGATCCGCCTGTGCCATCAAATTGCTTTATGTGCATTGATTCAGCTGAAGAGGCTTGCCAAGTTCTTGCTTAGGGAGCTTTCATAAGGACCTTAAAAGTGAAACAGCAGTTGCTGATCAGCACCTGTTTATTTGCATATGGAGCATGTCATCAATAATACACGAGACAAGGTCTTGAAAGTTAGAAGAACAGTATGTGAGCTTGGCATCAATTCTGCTTAATAGAACCCCATAAGCAACCTAGTCAATGGTATCGCATGAAAACTGACAGCTTTCATTACAGTGAAATATATGTCTTTAATTTAGTGGTTTTATGTAAATGTGACCCTATTTTTGCTTTCCATATTTTTTCCTTGCGTTATAACCTTAATTGCAAAGAGATTAATTTTACTTCCTCTTGCTATTCACAGAGGGCGACGAGACAGGAGTGATGGATAATCTTCTTGAGGCACTGCAATCTGGGGCAGCGTTCAGGGATCGCAGGAAACGAACACCAAGAACTCAGGGTAGGACATGCATTGTTCAACTTTGGGGGGAGCAAATGTATATTGTTCAGAGTTGGGGAGTAGAAATTGTTTGTTCAGGGAAGCTTTTTAGCAGTTTCAGTGAGAGCATGATGAGCCTCAGGTGTGAAATCTTGGGCCATATTTATACCATCGCCAAGTTTTAATATGGTGACTGTATCTACTAGTGATTGTAGAGCACAAAAAAGCACAAGGGGTTCCCAGTGTATTTGATGCAGCATTAAATAAAACTAAATCAACACTCCATAGTTCATGGTACATCACTGAAAACCATCTGTATAATGAAATTGACTCAGCTGAAGTCCTTAAACTCTGGGAATTATTCTTTTGCCATTTTTGCCGGTTGCAGTAATGGCAGAACTATATATTTGTTTTAAAATGTGTATCTTGTTCTATAAATTTGTTCAGTCTTCCTAGTCCAAATCTGGTCTTGCAGTGGAGAGCCTTAGACTCATATGGTAGACCCATCAATTTCCCATTTTAACACCAATGTTCAAGTCCATTGGGGGGGGGAGCAGTGCTCCCTGGGAAGAGAAGAAAGGATTTGAGGCAGGAGATGGCGTTAGCACGATAGACAGTAGCCTACCCAGAGGCATAGATGGGGGACATATAGGCCGGTAGTAGTTGTACCAGAGTTGGTGAGAACAAGGAGAAATAAACTGCTTCGGAAATTCTTCTGGTTTAAAATGAAGGGCAGAAATTATACAACCAGGTAATTAAATATGTAGACATGACTAGGAGAGCTTTCTACGTTGGTACCATATCTGTGGACTACATTGAGTATAATCCAACAGGAACATTTCCTCCATGCAGAAAGTTGAATTATTTCCATTGGTCTACAACTTGGCATGGTTTGAGACATTATATATCCTTGTGGCATAGATTTCAGCTTCTTGTTGTCTTAATGGCACATGGGCATATATATGAATGCGAGGTAAAACATTTTGTCCTTTATTTGCTAACATGAAGATTGAATTGTGTATAATGTGGTGAAAAAGAGAAGTGCCGTTGGCCTGGCTGGGAAAACAATATATTGTAAAATTCTGTTAAGACACTAAGAGGCCAGAAACGTTAAGATGCCTCCTTGTCCCAGAAGATCCACGATTTCATCCTGGTGTATTAGTTTCCTTTGGTGCTGTGTACAGTAGCGAAGCAGCTATTTCAGTTCTCGTCCATGTAGAAGTGCCAAGGATCAAATGGAAAGGCTTGCAAAATTGTAAGATGTCAACAACCTACTTCGGCCAATTATTATGAAGTGGAATTTCATCCAGTACACCTGCATTTATGGAAATAGTAGCAAAAAGGCTTGCTTATCGTTGCACAGATAAACATAACACTCCTAGGTATAAAGGAGGATTATTGGTGAGACAAGGTAATACATTTTCTTTAGCTTCCTTATTATCTAATCAGTTTGTGTCATGTAGTATTTTCACAAATGTTCTCCACAAATCCTCCGGGTTACCTCATAGAGTAAGTTCATAAAGAAGGTTGTTGTATTGATCTTACAGTAACATGTTACAAATGTAACTTTTTATGTGATGCCATTTGTGTCAGGGTCCAGGAGCATAAGGTACGGATAGCCATATAGAAGCATACCTGTACACACCTGTTTCACTGTGAAACCTGCCTTATCCATGGGCTCAGTACAGTTCTGTGATATTGGTTTTAAAAGAATGCTCTGTACATGTGATATATACAATACATCAAGATCAGGTGCTGCTGATAGGTACTAAGTACTTATATATCCCACTAATCCATTATGAGTTGATATTGTCCTTTACATTTTGATGGGAGAAAGCAATAAAAGGGGTAACTTCCCACTGGAGACTCAAGTGTCTTCCCTGAAGGAGAATGAGTTCAAGAAAGCCACTCAACCAGAATCATTCTCTTTATCCATGACAGCAAAGCTGGTCAGGTATAGCCTTAATATAGAAACCTCTTTTCAGGTATATATTTGCATATTATTTAATAAGTAAACAAATTGTGCGTATCAAAAGATGCATCTCATTTTGTAGATGCAGCCAAGGGTTCTGTTTGAGGGGGGAATTAATTGCATGAATTGCAATTAAATATTGTGGAGCAAATTTCTACTTGTGCAACCCGTAAAAAAAATTTTAAATGCATCCTTAAGTATTAATTGGTGTTTAACTGTGGCAATGCATTTTAATGAATTGCATGTGATTGAAATATTAACTCTTTCGGCAACTGCATATTGGAACTAAGTTCATTTTAAATCCCATTAGCACCACAAGTCTTGAAAACACCCTGCTCTTTTGTGTAGATAGAAAAAAGGAGTGGGGGGATTGAAATGTAGTATCTGCATCTTCTGTTATCTCTTGTCTTAAAATATAATAGTTTACTGAATCAGTGATAAGGTTTTGTGTACAGAGATGCCTTTTCCTCTAACAAATCTGCCAATGTCTTGTCATGACAAAACTGTTAAAGACATATAGTTTGGATGGCATTCATCATTCTTTCACCAATTACCCATGACCTTTTATCCTAGCCTCAGGCTATGAGATTATGACTAGTTCTGAAATACATTCCCTCTAATATTAGTTTAAGTGATTCCCCCCCCCACATAACTAACTGTTCTATAAGGATTAAAAAAAAACCCTTTGCACTAAGCTGTTAAATCTTTTGCTATAGAATTAAATTTCTAGAAATGTTAATAGCAACTGTCCTTTTTAGGAGTGCCCTACTTCAGAAATATTGCAACTGCAGTGGCATTACGTGCCGTCATTTCTTACTGCAGAGAAACTACAGCTTTGAGATATATGTATGGTTTATGGGCTTTAGGCTACAAAGTATGTGAGTCAAGTATCCCAACGGGACCAGGATGTATCCGCCAATTCACTTTATAGTGTTTGAACCAAATATCAGGTTGGGTAACACAGAGGAGTTCCATTGAGGGAAGGGGTGGGGAGTTTTGCATATCCCTCCCACTCTTGCTGCAGCCCTCTGACTCCTCCTGTGCAGACTCCTCCCCATGCTATCACCTATGAGCATCATAAAGGAGACATTAATGGTCAGGGACCTGCATACCTTCGGGGCGCCTCTCTCAGTATCCCCCTGGAAGAGCATTGTGCACAGGAAATAAGAACGTCCCGGTGGTCCCTGGCCTGAGATCCGGCTGTCCTCAATCAGGGCCAGGACTTTTTCAGCCCTGGCCCTCACCTGGTGGGACTCTCTGCCAGAAGACATCCGTGCCCTGCAGGAGTTATTACCTTTCCACAGGGCGTGTAAGGCAGAGATGTTCCGCCAGGCATTTGGCACCCCATCCCTCGCAACCCCTCCCCCCAAGGAGGTCAGGGGAGCCGATTTTTCCATCATCTGGTATATGTGCTCTGTTTCTATTTATTGATCTGTTTTTTAAATTGCTTTAATGTTGTTTTAAGCTAAAGATTTTTGTTATCACTTTGTTGTAAGCCACCCTGAGCTCTACCTGTAGGGAAGGGCAGCCTGGCAAATCTAAATAAATAAATAAATATAATTTGGGTCTGTAGTGCAAGGGGCGAGGAAGGGTCGTCGTGGTATCCAAGCCACCATGGATCATATGAATAAGATGCACAACAATTGAAGAATTGTCTGATAAACTTGATTTCCTCAAGGAAGCTGTTTCCATCTTAGCAGACTGATTAAAAGTTTAGATGACCCTGCCCTGTTTCACCTAAATGAAAGTTATAGTCAAGGACACCCGTCACTTCTAAATTTTCTTCTTGTGAAAACAACAACAGTAGAATATTGTTGTAGTCTCATATTTTCACAATTCTGTATGCAGCTGTTTTAGATAAAAGGTCCACTGAATTAAATGGGAAATATTTGTAAGTTCCAGTAAATTGAGTAAATATAGGTAAAGGTTTCCCTTGCTCAAAAGCTAGTTGAATCCAACTCTAGGGGGCAGTGCTCATCTGTTTCCAAGCCGAAGAGCCAGTGCTGTCTGAAGACGTTTCCATGGTCATGTGGCCGGCATGACTAAATGCCAAAGCACACGGAACTCTGTTACCTTCCCACTGAAGCGGTACCTATTTATCTACTTGCAGTTTCTTGCTTTCGAACTGCTAGGTTGGCAGGAGCTGGGGCCAGAGACAGGAGTTCACTCTGTCATGCGGCACTAGGATCTTGAACTGCTGAACTACGAATCTTCCGGTCTGCAGCTCAGCATCTTAACCTCTGAGCCACCGCGGCCGTACTTCTGACTTAATAGTGGTGCTTAGAGCATGTTCAGATTACCAGTTTAATCAAGAGCACTGCACGCACTTCAATGCTTCCAGGGACCGCCTGTCTAGCATGGGTGTTCCAGTTCACTACAATGCAGGGATTTTGCATACACCGCTGTCTGGTTTTGTATGTGCCAGGCCTGTATGGCCATATCTTTTTTTTGTGGCTCAGAAGAACCAGGTTTTTGCCCTGCTTTGGTAGGACAGGTAATAAACCTAGAATAATTAATCCACTCTGTTATTCTGAGCTAGTTTCTTAACCCTTGTTTGATGTAAAGATTTTCCATAATATCAAAAAAGCTTAAATTGTGGGAAGCTGGAAATCAGTCAATTTTATATGCATATTAGTATAATATCTTGTATTTGTGAGTTGTTGGGTTTCAAGGGGAATTTTCGGTGATTTCTGTTTGGTTAAAACAAATTCTTTTACAGCTCAATAAAGACTAACATTTATAATGGCAAAGTTATATGGGGTGAGCCCATTTGGTCATATGCTATTTATAGTTGAGTTCAGACTGTAATTTTAGTAATTGCTTTAACTCCGAGGATTTCAATAAATTCATTTTACCTCTTCTGCAGTTTATTTAATCAATTTCTTATAGTACAGGGAAGAAACTGAGGCTGCAATTCTAAGAGCAGTTTCCTGGGAACAAGCACTGTTGAATAAAATGGGACTTCCTCCTCATTAGACCTTCTTAGGAATACTGTCTGAACATTATATCCTAGAAGAGATGAGCGTAAGCCGCCATCTTGGCACAAAAG